TCTTTGGTGGGCAGCTTGAAGACAGCCCTGAGGATCAGCACGTAGGACACGGCGATGAACACAAAGTCTAGTATAAAGGTGAGAATAGGCACTGAAAAGCCAAACCAGATATTGAGAGAGATGTCTGCACAGGCCAGCCTGGCCACCCCGATGTGCTCACAGTAGGAGTGCGGGATGACGTTGCTGGCGCAGAAGGGCAGCCATTTGAGAAGAAAGACATCAGGGACAATTATAAAAAAGCTTCTGACGACAATGGCCGTGGCTATTTTCCCGATCTTCTCATTGGTGAGGACAGTCGTGTACCTCAGGGGGTCGCAGACGGCGACGTACCGATCAAACCCCATGGCCAGCAGGACGGCCGACTCGACAACTCCCACAAAGTGCACAAAGAACATCTGGGTGATGCAGGCACTGAAGGAAATGGCCTTGGGTCCAAACCAGAAGATGACCAGCATGTTGGGCACGGTGCAGGTGGATAACAGTAAGTTGGCCACCACCAGCATGGAGAGGAAAATGAACATGGGCTCGTGCAGCCTGCGCTGGGTGGCGATGAGCAGGAGGAGACCACAGTTCCCCAGAACAGCCGCCGTGTACATCAGCGCGAAGGGGATGGAGATCCAGGGGTGCCAGGGCTCCAGGCCCGGGATGCCGACCAGGACGAAGGTGAGGTGACTGAACGTTGTGCTGTTGGGCGCGGCCATGGGGCGCTGAGGGCTCCGCTTGGGTGCCGGGCCCGGCTGGAAGCAGAGACAAGGTCAGTGCCTGCTGGGCTCCTACCCCCTCACACTCACTTCTCACTTCCCACTCACGCTCTGCACCCCTGGGCCTGAGAGCCGCACTCAGAGCTGGGCAGGGCAGAGCCGGAGCTGATGACAGTGACCTGTCAGGAGCCTGAGATGACCACTCGACAAACCAGCCACAGAGCAGACAGGGCTGGAGAAGAGTCTCAGAGAGCCCAGCCCATGAAGCCGGCCTCCATGAGCTCTGGAACACACCTGGAAGCAACAAGAGACTGTTCAGCTACTCACGCTGCTTGAGGATTTATTGTAGAGATGCTGAACCCCCCAAGGAGCTGCAGAGCCCACGAACACAGCGGCCACTCAGAGGTGCCTCAGTGCAGAAAGGGGCACTAATGGATTCGGAGCCTGGGGACACAGGACTGGGCCCAGGATCCCAGCAGTGGCCGGACCGGCCCCAGACACAACAGGGATAGAATCTCCCTGCGCCTACGGACAGTCCCCGCCCATAGAGCCACCCGAGCACGTTTGGCTCCATTCTGCTAACCCTACTGCCCAGCCCCTGGGCCAGCAAGGCAAATGACAGTCAGCCTCTCCCCGGTGGGAACTGGGCATCGCCGGGCAGAGGAGCCTGCGGGCAAGTTCTAATCGTTGGCTTTGATAAGTAAATTATCACACGATTCCACTATATTTGAAAGAGTCGGCCTGTCTGTCTGTTTCTGTCCGTAAGTCTGTCCGTGCGAGCACTCCTCTGAAGCGGTAGGAGCTAGGACCACCCAATGTGCTAGGCAACTGTGTCTTATCCTCGCTTCAAAGCAAGTTCCGCTCAGCACACCACACAGGAAAGAGACACACACCCGTCCCCTTTCCCTTCTGTCTGGGACTGTCCAAAGTCTCTTTTCCTCCAAGAATCCATTAGGGATGGGGCGGGGGAGCAGCTCCCTGCCCCGTGCTCGCTGTTGCCCCAGCATGGAGCGAGGGGAAATTGGCAGAGGCGGTGGATGTGCCGTTGGCTGCATCACTCACTGTGGCTGGGGAGTGCAGAAGGGGATGGACGGGACAAGCCCCAGTCAGGTCACATGAATTCCTCCCTGTGGTGCCTGCTGGTTTGGGGCAGCCATGGAGAGGCGCTTCTTATCTACCCCAAGCTGCTGCAGGGAGAGAATTCATGAGAGGTTTCTAACCATTAGAGGAGTGAAGTTCTGGAACGGCCTTCCAAGGGAAGTAGGATATAAGATGGCTAGTAGGAAGTTTAGACTTGAGATTAGACGAAGGTTTCTAACCATTAGAGGAGTGAGGTTCTGGAACGGCCTTCCAAGGGAAGTAGTGGGGGCAAAAGATCTATCTGGTTTCAAGATTAAACTAGATGGGTTTATGAAGGGGATGGTTTGATGAGATAACATGATCTTGGTAACTAATTGACCACTCATTATCAGAGGTAAATAGGTCAATGGAGGGATGATAGGAGTTACTATAGAGAACTTTCTGGGTGTCAGGCTGGTGAGTCTTGCCCACATGCTCAGGATTTAGCTGATCGCCATATTTGGGGTCGGGAAGGAATTTTCCTCCAGGGTAGATTGGCAGAGGCCCTGGAGGTTTTTCGCCTTCCTCTGTAGCATGGGGTACAGATTACAGCTAGAGGATTCTCTGCATCTTGGGGTCTTCAAAGTATTTGAAGGCTTCAATATCTGAGATATAGGTGAGAGGATTATTCTAGGAGGGGTGGGTGATATTTTGTGGTCTGCACTGTGCAGGGGGTCAGACTAGATGATCATAATGGTCCCTTCTGACCTTAAAGTCTATGAGTCTATGAGTCTAAAATCGGGGTAGCCCTCTCTCCCGGGGCAGCTTGGAACCAGAACCCCTTCTTCCCAGCCCAGCCAAGAGCCAAGGCTCCAGGGAAGCCTGGGCACGTCCATGGTATTTCCAAATTCACACACTGCAAATTTGCAGCCCAAGCAAGGCCAGGTCCCCTGCCAGCGCCAGAGGGAGGCCCCTGAGGAGAGGTAAAACCTTCCTACTGCCCACCAAATATGGTGGCTGACGACTGCGGGTCTGGACGATCCTGGGAAAGTGCCATGTTTCCCGACATCTGCCCGTACTGGAGTTTCCTGCCCTTCCCTGCAGCCCTGGTGCTACTCACAGGCGATGGGGGAGGTTCGACAAACCGGACCCTAATCCAGCCCAGCCTGGGAAGGTCCATTGGCGGGAGCTGCACTTTGCTCTTTGCTGTTTTCACTCGCTGCCCCAGGCCAGCAGCTGGTCAGTGAGGGCTCCCTGGGGCCACAGGCAGGCCCAGCTCAGAGACGCCCGGGAGACTCTCTAGGGTGACAGCTGAGCAGGAGCTTCCGGCACGAACGACACCCCATGAGCTCCTCTGGGCCCTAGAACGTCTGCCGGGTGTGGAAATATCCGAGTGCCCCAGGTAGGGACGTTCCATTGCAAAGCCTGCCTGGGTGCCGGGTGCCTCCCTACCTAAATGCCTGGAAGCTGAGATCCAGGGCCTTTTCCTGGCTGCAGATGCCCTGCCACTCACCCCAGCCCTTCTCACTGCTTCAGTAATGTCCCTGGGCAGCCTTTCCCAAGGCCTCCTGGGCAGTCCCAGCCCCCTACAGCCGTGAGGCCGGGTAGGGAGTGGAGACGTCAGCTGTTCCATGAGAATTGCAACTTCCCTCACAGCACAGAGTAACTACAGAGCTTAAATAAGAACATAACATAAGAAAGGTCATACTAGGTCAGACCAAAGGTCCATCTAGCCCAGTATTCTGTCTTTTGACAGTGGCCAGCACCAGGCACCCCAGAGGAGGTGGACCAACGACAATGATCAAGCGATTTGTCTCCCACCATCTGTCTCCAGCCTCTGACAAACAGAGGCCAGGGACACCATTACTACCCCCTGTCTATTAGCCTTTTATTGACCTAACCTCCATGAATTTATCTAGCTTCTCTTTAAGCTCTATAATAGTTCTTGCCTCCTCTGGCAAGGAGTTCCACAGTCTATGTGCTGTGTGAAGAACTTTCTTTTATTAGTTTTTAACCTGCTACCCATTAACTTCATTTGGTGTCCTCAAGTCCTTCTATTATGGGAACTAATGAAGAACTTTTCTTTATTCACCATCTCCACCCCACTCATGATTTTATTGACCTCTATCATATCCCCCCTCAGTCTCCTCTTTTCTAAACTGAAAAGTCCCAGTCTCTTTAGCTTCTCTTCATATGGGACCCATTCCAAACCTCTAATCATTTTAGTTGCCCTTTACTGAACCCTTTCCAAGGCCAAAATATCTTCTTTGATGTTAGAAGACCACATCTGTACACAAAATGCAGGACAATGTAGCACTTTAAAGACTAACAAGATGGTTTATTAGATGAGGAGCTTTCGTGGGCCAGACCCACTTCCTCAGATCAAAACCTGGCCCACGAAAGCTCATCATCCAATAAACCATCTTGTTAGTCTTTAAAGTGCTACATTGTCCTGCATTTTGCTTCAGCTACCCCAGACTAACACGGCGACATCTCTATCACTATTTATATCTGTACACAGTACAGCTTCTGTCTGTCCGCTGCCCTACTGCCATACACCCACCCTCTCTGCTCCCTCCAGCCCTGCCCCAGTGTCTGTGTCCCGGACGTTCATTCACATTTCATAGCAGAGTCATTGGGGGCTCAGGGTAGGAAATGCTGGTGTCTCTGCCTGGCTCTGCCCTGAACTTTGTGGCAGGGAAACCGAGACTTGTGCCCCTGGCAGCCCGCTCTGTGCTTCCCCTGCCTTTCCTTCCCCTGCAGGCGCCATCCTCCTCCACCAGACCTGCCCCCTGCTTTGAGGGGCCCCAGAGGCTGTGGGGGGTTCCCCTGGACTGGGTCCTTGGTGAGTTCAGGTCCCACTGATGACACGCGAGGGCATCTTTCTCAGCAGAGGGGCACCGTACAAGAGCCCCCCCCAACACTCACCGGGCTCCTGCCTCAGCCGGGGATGAGGAGTCTCTGCCTGGGATCCAGGTGGGGAGCTGCAGGGGCAGGAACCGCACTGGCCGGGGCTCGGAGGCAGGGACATTTATCCTGCCTGCCTGGGAGTCCCAGCGGGGTCGGAGCCAGCAGGGAGCCCTGGGCACAGAGCAGTTTCCAGCTCAGCCGCAGGCAGGGGCAGGCTGGGATCAGGGGATTTGAGTGTTTACAGGCGTGATGTTCCTCGTGTCTAGGAATGGAAACCCCACTGGAAATTCCCCCTCCAGCTCCAAGAGAGATGCAGCTGAGTCAAATGTGGCAGGAGTTTTCTTCTCTAACAAGTACCAGAGAGACTTGCTGGAACATTGGCAATTTATGGAGTATTGTAATGCCAAGATACAAAGCAGACTTGCTGGAACATTGACAATTTATGGAGTATTGTAATACCAAGATACAAAGGAAAGAGCAGTGGGAGAGGACACCATATTGGGAAGGGAGTAGAACTAGAGAGGAAAGGAAACAGAGATGCTGAGCTAACATATGTAGACCCCAAAGACTGGGAGAATAAATACTGGCAAGATATGAATAAAAGGGGATATAATGGAGTTCTCTAAAGAACATGGGTAACCCACTTGTTTAGCATCTGTTGCAAGGCCCCTGACTGCATAGCTCAAGCTAGAGACTCTACCATTAAGCTATAGAAATCCTAGGTTTGAATCTGCCCCGTGGAATTTAAGGATGCATGGTCTGGAAGGGAAATGTTATTTATCCCCTGCTATAAAATGAAGAGAGGAATCATTAAGTTGTAGCAGGTTTAAAACGAGTGACCAGGGGTGTTTTTACACACAATGAACAGGTGGATCTCTTTGCCATCTGATGTTGTGAAGGTCAAAACAGTAAAGTTTTGTCTTCACTGCAGGGTTTTTGTGGAAGACGCCTTTTGCGGAAGAGTTCTTGTACAAAACTCCTTGTGCAAAAGCGTGTTCAGCCCTAAAAACACCTCGCAAAAGCGACGTGCT